ACTTCACTCTAACAATGGACCATTGAAGAAACTCATCACACTCAGCAGTGTTCCCTCTAATTTTTTCCATCCATGTGCGGAATGAATTTTGTTACATGCACCAATATCGAAGTAATGTGCGGATGTGCACCACCAGTAGCAACAAAAAACCTAGATATAATGTATATTTTTAAAAGTTACCATAGGGATAATTACTCCAGCCAGGACTGGTTAGGCATTTTAGAATTCGCTACTCAAAGAATTAAATTTAAGCATAACTAGGGTGACCAGACAGCAAATGTGAAAAATCAGGACAGGGGGTGGGGGGCAATAGGAGCCTATATAAGAAAAAGACCCAAAAATCGGGACTGTCCTTACAAAATCGGGACATCTGGTCACCCTAAGCATAAGAGAGAAATAAAATTATGAAATTGCAGGAAGTACCAAGAAGTAACAACAATAATACAAGTATGTGTTGGGAGGTGAGGGTGAAAGAGAGTGTGTCTGTGTGTGTGTGAGTCAGAGACTGCGTGTATGTGTTTGTCAGAGACAGAAACAGTTTGTGTGTGTGCTGGCTGCTGGGGAAGTCTATGAGAGACCGTGTGCTGTCTTTTTAAAGCACTCACACACCAGAAGGCTCAGACCACAACATCTTATCCCTGGCCCCTCTCCCCAACTCTGCAGAGATGGGGTACATGGGTAGGTTGAGGTATGGGAGGGGGACCCTGGGAGCAGCTTGCCAGGGGCTGCAAGGCAGAGGGCAGGAGCAACGTGGCTGAAGAGCTGCATGGTGAGGGGCACCTGAACACGCCGCTGTGCATGGCTCTGCTAACCAAGTGTGCAGCACTACATTCACTCCTGGGTGTGTGTGTGACCGCGCAGCTTAGAGGGAATACAGCCACACAGTAGGTCTTCCTGTAGATGCTTCAGACTCTGAGGAGGCCAATGGCCACCCCCTGTAATTCAGTAAACTATCTATGGACATGTTATATGTTCATGTCACACTGGACTCCATCTTGGACAAGTAACTCTTCACAATGGGCTGTAGACTTAAGGCACCTGAGACATCTCCATTTGGTCTTCATTTCTCTGGACTGGATTTTTAACAAGGACTGATGACCCCCAATTTGTTTGGGTGATTTCGGAGAGACTTTTGCAAACTAGCAGTTTATTCCATCTCTGCTACAAACCTGATATAAGGACTTTGCAATCACTTGTATGTATATGACTTGCAATCACTTGTATGTATATTATAATTCTCTTTTCTTTTTTCTTTTTTCTTATTAAACCTTTAGTTTTTAATAACTAAAGGATTGGCAACCGCGTGATTATTATGAGCCCTATTCCAGGCACCCAGTCACAGTCAGGTGGAAAAAAATAGGTATTGAAGTAGTTATAGTTTTGCCTGAGTGACCATTTTGTTATAGAGTGCAGGCGGAGAGTAAGAAAGGGATCATAAATCCTGCAGATTTTAACCCTTCCTGAAAGCCTTTTTAGTGTGTCCCCAAATCTTCACAGTACAGGTTGGGTAAGGGGAAACCTTCCTCACTCAGCATAAGAATGACTAGGGAGAAGGCCTTGAAACTATAGAAGGTGGAGGTGTGAAGAGATGGTGAACAGTGGGAAGAAGTCCTCCTGCAAGTTTTTCCAGTACTTGAGAGAAGAATCCATCCCCAGTTAATGCTGTAGATGACCAATCAATAAAGGTAAGTCTATATTCCAGTACAGAAGGAGATTTTGATCATTTAAGTCCTAGTAGTACTGTTTGCTTAAAAGAAAAGGTCAGTGCAGGAAGACTCTTAGGTGCTGGGGATGCTGCATGCAATGTTGATGGTGCCAGAAGGTCATCTGGCTGTGATACCAACTGTAGCACCTATGTAATCCCAGTCAAATCCTGTTGCAGCAAAAGGGAGTCCAGAACCAAAAGGCAAAGGAAATCTCATACTACTGCATAGACTTCTGGTGTCACTGATACCAACAAAGTTTGAGGCTGTCTCTAAGGTAGAGTGTCTAATATCTTAGTTGGAGCTGGTCTCAATGGTACCTGCATCAGTACCAGAGCCTACAACCAGCCTTCTTGATGTATGTCAATTGTCATTTCTGGGGGGCCATGAGTCTCCATCTGTGCTCTAACCTCAGTCACTGTTCTTTGATGGACCTATCTTCCATGAACTTATCTATTTCTTTGTCTATGAAAAACTGTGTATGTGGAGCCCCTGCTGTTAGAGCCTGCAGTTTGCTTACTCTCCTTGTGGATATTATGGCAAGAAGAAAAGCTGTCTTTTGGAAAAAAGGACAGAGAACAACTTGCTTGAGGCCAAATAGAGGTCTGATGAGGGCAGTTAGTACAGTGTTGAGGTCCCACAATTGAACTTTCACAGGTGGAAAGATATGGACAATACTTTTTAGAACTTGGACTACCATGGAGTTAAAAGAAATTGACTTCCCTTGGATTGGAGGATGGAATGCCAAGATGGCTGCTAAGTGGACCGTCAACAAGCTGAGAGACAGATTTGAGGATTTAAAATGTATCAGGTAATCCAAAATGTCCTGAATGCAGGCTAGCATTGGCTGAATTCCCTGAGACTGGACCAAACTAAAAAACACTTCCACTTGGCAGAATAGAGAGAGATAGTAGCGGGTTTTCTACTATTAAATTGGACTAATTGAAGTGCTTCTGAACATCAACCTTCCTCCTCATCTAAACACACAGATTCCATGCCATGAGGTACAGAGTGTTCAGTGTTGGGTGTCTGATCATGGTGTTGAGTCAGGAAGGAGGGGAAGAGGTGTGGAAGGCCGAACAGTTAGACTATGACATTTGGAGAACCAACATTGTCTTTGCCAAGCTGGCACAATGAGTATCTGTTTGGAATAATCTGCTTCAGTTTGAGAATAACTTGCAGTATGAGCAGATTGTGGGGGGAAGGCATATAGCAGTGCTGATCCTCAATTCAGATGGATGGTGTTGGTTAAAGAGCCTGGACTGAGACTTGCTTGTGACCAAAATTGATGGCACTTCTTTTTTTCTTTTCTTTTTTTTATTGCAAACAGGTAAACAGACAGAATGTCCCATTCTCGGAAGATGGGCCTCAGAACACTGCACTTCAGGGGCTACTCATGATTCTGGGAGAAATTCCTGCTGAAGTGATCAGCCAACTGATTCTGGCCCCTGGTAAGTGGGCAGCCATGAGAATAATGCATTCCTCGATGCAAAAAAAGCCACAACTTTATTGCTTCTTGACAAAGCTGCTTGAAGTGAGCTTTCAAAGTCTCTAGATGCAGTCTCCAACCTATTGTGGAGATATCAGTAACTGTAGTCTTGATCGGTGGAGGATGGGCAAAGGATATATCCTATCACACATTGTTTTGATCTGTCCATCCCCCTAGGGACTCCGGGATCACCAGTGGCACTCAGACAAAGCTGTCCAATGACTGGGAACTCCAGAGATAGACAGACAGATTTTAACCAGCTTTGAAGTGGATCTCCCATGGTGGACTAAATAAACGCTTATGCCCAGGCACACAGACTGTAGTTGAATGATGAGATTGGAGGGACAGACACAGGTGATGAATTGTTTGGAATCACTTGTGCAGGGGAAAAGCTCTCCAACTTGTAGTCTAGTATGGCCCCAATGAACTCAATTTTTTTCTGTTGACTTTCCCCTGTTCAAAATCAGTCCCAACAAATTGATGAGATTCAGCATGAAATGAAGTTTAAGGACTTGGTCTTCAAACTTGCCCTCACTAACCAATCATCCAGGTATGGGAAGACATGAATCCTCATTCTCCTGAGATAGGCTATGGCTGCAGTCATGAATTTGGTAAATATGCATGGGGCAGAGGACTGTGTATTGATAATGTTGATCTGCCATTATAAGAAACTTCATGTGGCTTGGGAGAATCACCATGTGGAAGTAGGAATTCTCAGATTGAGGATGGCAAACCAGTCATTTTGATCCAATGCAGGGAGGATTGTAGCTAGTGTTACCATACTGAATCTGATATTTGATGTACTTGTTGATACCCCAGTGGCCAAGAATAGGTCTCAGCCCTCCCTTGGACTTGGGGAACAGGAAATAACATGAGTAGACTCCCTTTTCCCAAAACTGAAGGGTAACTTCTTCTATGGATCCTGAATCTCAGAGTCTGAATCTGCTGACAAAGCAGTGACTCATGAGAGGGGTTCCTGAAAAGGGACAGGGTAGAGGAGTGGGAAGCAGGAGATGGACAAGAATTGGATCACATCCCCTGATCACAGTTCTTAGGACCCATTTGTCTGTGGTTATTGTTTCCCAAGTACTGTAGAAGTGGGACAACCTGTTCCCAAATGGAGGCAATATGGTCAGGAAGTTGACGACTGGTATGCTGCCCTTGAGAGGAGAGTCACATTGGCAGCTTGTCCAAAGCTGATGGAGGATGAGGTGGTTGTTGGTTGAAGTTGGAACCAGAGGGCCTTCTCCTTTGTGTCTTGTGTCTCCTCAGGGAGAAGTGTTGCTGCCTAGCAGGATAAGCCATCTGCCTGAAGTACTGCTGGGAATATTGACAGTATTGCTGCTGCTGTTGCTGAGCTCCATAATGATGACTCTTAACTTCTGGTATAACCCCCAATGAACAAACAGTGGCTGGAGAGTCCTTAAAGGAATGCAGCATCTCATTAGTCTTTTTGGAAAACAAGAACTGACCATCGAAGGTAAAGTCCTCTATACTTTGTTGAACCTTGGGAGCTATGGCAGATTTCTGTAACATAAGAACATAAGAATGACCCTACTGGGTCAGACCAAAAGTCCATCTAGCCCAGTATTCTGTCTTCCCACAGTGGTCAGTGCCAGGTGCCCCAGAGGGAATGAACAGAACAGGTAATCATCAAGTGATCCATCCCCTGTTGCTCATTCCCAGCTTTTGGCAAACAGAGGCTAGGGACACCATCCCTGCCCATCCTGGCTAATAGCCATTAATGAACCTATCCTCCATGAATTTATCTAGTTCTTTTTTGAACCCTGTTATGGTCTTGGCCTTCACAGCATCCTCTGGCAAGGAGTTCCACAGGTTGACTGTGCATTGTGTGAAGAAATACTTCCTTTTATTTGTTTTAAACCTGCTGCCTATTAATTTGACCCTTAGTTCTTGTGTTATGAGAAGTAGAAAACAACACTTCCTTATCTGCTTTCTCTACACCAGTCATGATTTTATGGACTTCAATCATATCTCCCCTTAGCAGTTTCTTTTCCAAGCTGAAAAGTCCCAGTCTTCTTAATCTCTCCTCATGCGGAAGCCATTCCATACCCCTAATCATTTTTGTTGCCCTTTACTGAACTGGATTTTCCAATTCCAATATATCTTTTATGAGATGGGGTGACCACATCTGCACACAGTATTCAAGATGTGGGCATACCATGGATTTATATAGAGGCAACATGATATTTTCTGTCCTATTATCTATCCCTTTCTTAATTATTCCCAACATTCTGTTTGCTTTTTTGACTGCCGCTGCACATTGAGTGGATGTTTTCAGAGAACTATCCACAATGACTCCAAGATCTCTTTCTTGAGTGGTAACAGCTAATTTAGACACCATAATTTTATATGTATAGTTGGTATTATGCTTTCCAATGTGCATTACTTTGCATTTATCAGCATTAAATTTCATCTGCCATTTTGTTGCCCAGTCATCCAGATTTGAGAGATCCTTTTGCTCTTCGCAGTATGCCTGGGTCTTAACTATCTTTAGTAATTTTGTATCATCTGCAAATTTTGCACCTCACTGTTTACCCCTTTTTCCAGATCATTTATGAATATGTTGAATAGGACTGGTCCCAGAACAGACCCCTGGGGGACACCACTATTTACCTCTCTCCATTCTGAAAACTGACCATTTATACCTACCCTTTGTTGCCTATCTTTTAACCAGTTACCGATCCATGAGAGCACCTTCCCTCTTACTCCGTGGCAGCTTACTTTGCATAAGAGCCTTTGTTGAGGGACCTTATCAAAGGCTTTCTGAAAATCTAAGTACACCATATCCACTCGATCCTCTTGGTCCCCAGGCTTGTTGACCTCCTTAAAGAATTATAGTAGATTGGTGAGGCTTGATTTCCATTTACTAAAACCATGTTGACTCTTCCTCAACAAATTATGTTCATCTATATGTCTGACAATATTGTTCTTTATTATAGTTTCAACCAGTTTGCCTGGTACTGAAGTCAGGTTTACAGGCCTGTAATGGCCAGGATCACCTCTGGAGCCCTTTTTAAAAACTGGCGTCACATTAGCTATCCTCCAGTCATCTGGTACAGAAGCTGATTTAAATGATAGGTTACAGACTACAATTAGTAGTTCTGCAATTTCACATTTGAGTCTTGATGACTTATTGATATTTAATTTATCAATTTGTTCCAAAACCCCTCTAATGATACCTCAGTCTGGGACAGTTCCTCAGATCTGTCACCTAAAAAGAATGGCTCAGGTTTGAGAATCTCCCTCACACCCTCAGCTGTGAAGAACTATGCAAAGAATTCATTTAGTTTCTCCTCAGTGGCCTTATCATCCTTGAGTGCTCCTTTAGCACCTCGATCATCCAACGGCCCTACTGGCTGTTTAGCAAGCTTTCTGCTTCTGATGTACTTTAAAAAAAATGCTATTACTTTTTGAGTCTTTGGCTAACTGTTCCTCAAATTCTTTTTTGGCCTTCCTAATTATATTTTTACACTTCATTTGCTGGTGTTTATGCTCCTTTCTACTTTCCTCACTAGGATTTAACTTCCACTTTTTAAAGGATGCCTTTTTGCCTCTCGCTGCTTCTTTTATGTTGTTGTTTAGCCACAGTGGCTCTTTTTTTGGTTCTCTTACTATATTTTTTAATTTGGGGTATACATTTAACTTGAGCCTCTATTATGGTGTCTTTAAAAAAGTTTCCACGCAGCTTGCAGAGATTTCACTTTTGGCACTATACCCTTTAATTTCTGTTTAACTAACCTACTCATTTTTGTGTAGTTTCCCTTTCTGAAATTAAATGCTACAGTGCTGGGCTGCTGTGGTGTTTTTCCTGCCACAGGGATTTTAAATTTAATTATATTATGGTCACTATTACCAAGCGATCCAGCTATAGTCACCTCTTGGACCAGATCCTGTGCTCCACTTAGGAATCAATCAAGAATTGCCTCTCCTCTGGTGGGTTCCAGGACCAGCTGCTCCAAGAAGCAGTCATTTAAGGTGTCAAGAAACTTTATCTCTGCATCCCATCCTGAGGTGACGTGTACCCAGTCAATATGGGGATAATTGAAATCCCCCATTATTATTATTGAGTTTTTTATTTTAATATTCTCCCTGATCTCCCTGAGCATTTCACAGTAACTATCACCATCCTGGTCAGGTGCTCAGTATATATCCCTACTGCTATATTATTATTAGAGCATGGAATTTCTATCCATAGAGATTCTATTGTACAGTTTGATTCATTTATTATTTTTACTTCATTTGATTCTATGCTTTTTTCACATATGCCTCTCCCCCACCAGCACAACCTGTTCTGTCCTTCCAATATATTTTTTACCCTGGTATTACTGTATCCCATTGATTATCCTCATTCCACCAAGTTTCTGTGATGCCTATTATATCGATATCCTCATTTAATACGAGGCACTCTAGTTCACCCATTTTCTTATTTAGACTTCTAGCATTAGTATATAAACACTTTAAAAACTTGTCTCCTTTTAGCTGTCTGCCATTACACGATGTAATTGAATGGGACTCTTTTTTATTTGACTGTTTCTGATCAGATCCTGCCTGTATTTTATCATTTTCCATCCTCTCGTCCTCACTAGGACATAGAGATTCTCTATCCCTCTCCTAAGGGATGTCCAAACCATGTGCTCCTCCGCACCATTCGGCTTTCCCCCAGACCTTAGTTTAAAAACTGCTCTACAACCTTTTTAATGTTAAGTGCCAGCAGTCTGGTTCCATTTTGGTTTAGGTGGAGCCCATCTTTCCTGTATAGGCTCCCCCTTTCCCAAAAGTTCCCCAGTTCCTAATAAATCTAAACCCCTCCTCCCTACATGCATTGAGACTCTGCAGTTCTGCCTGTCTAACTGGCCCTGCCTAGAGGCTCTTCTCATTGTTACCGGTGAGGCCATAGTTCTGGAGGAAGTGTCCAGCACATCCAGTGCTGATTGCAGTGAGGTCTTAACAACTAGATGATCTTTCACAATTAAGGCTTTAAACTCTTCCCTGGAGGATTCTGGCAATTTATATGTAAATTTGGACACCGCATCCCAGTTGACAAAGTCATATGTTGATAATACGTATTATTATTGATTAGGCCGTTGATTAGCAATGCACATCTATAGTGAGGAGATAAAATAAATCTTCCTTCTCATTAAATCTAACCCCTTAGACTTCTTTAGGTGTCAACTTATACCTCCCTTTTCACAACCTCTCATTTGCCACTGTTACAAGAAGAGAGTTAGGAGCCAAATGGGACTTAAAACACTGATACCCCTGCATGGGGACATAGTACCACTTACCTGAATGGTTCGCTATAGGAGGTAAGGAAGCTGGGGTATGCCACAAGGCTTTTGTGGGTTCCAAAATAGGTTTATTTATAGAGAGAGCTACCCTCCCTGGTGCCGAAAGTTGAATAATGTCCACCAATTTATGGCTATTCTACTGAACAAACTCATCCTGAATGCCCTGTAGCCATTTGCCTCACGAGTTCTTGACAACACTTACAATCCTCAGACACAGGAGAAAACAAATCCAGCACTGTGGAATCATCTGGTGAGGAAGAAGAGGAAGAAAATAGAGCCAATCGGATCTCCTGCATCAATACCTGCTGCTGAACAACGGTTCAGGATGAACCAGTTCAGATGGAGCAACATCAGTCTGTGTCTCCAGCCTGGGCAGCTTGGGAGGCAAGATTACCAAAGAGTTTGTTGACCTTGCTCTGGACTGGGCATAGGATCTCCAAGGCACAATAAGTACCGAGTGTTTAGGGTTAACCACCCCACACAACAGGCAGTGCTTAAAACCTGGCGAGGGCATTGCACCAAGCTAAATTCTCCTTAACTAAATTACTACTAACTAAATACTAAGGGTACTACTGTAACTTTCTATAACTATGCACATGCATTCACAGAAAAAGTACTGTGATAGCAAAGCATGAGCTAAGCACTAGAATAAATTGCCCAAGAAGGTTGTGGAATCTCCATCATTGGAGATTTTTAAGAGCAGGTTAGACACACACTTGTCAGGGATGGTCTAGATAATACTTAGTCCTGCCATGAGTGCAGGGGACTGGACTAGATGACCTCTCAAGGTCCCTTCCAATCCTATGGTTCTATACCACATAGAATGCTCTGGTGGTGAGAAAGAACTGAGGGGAATTGGAGTGGTGTGGCCCTTAAATAGCCATGGGAGAGGTTATGGGGTTCCAAGGGCATGTGTGTTGCCCCAACGGATACTGCTCAGCAAAGTTCTCTGGCTTTTGGCGCACTAGGCATGTGCACACCTTTGTGGAATACACATTTGCAATCAATCGAAGAAGAACCTTACATGACACCCACTGGTGAACTGGAATGTAAATACCAGATCCAGGGGATCCTTGTAACCCTTATGCACCTCTGTGCCCTCTGCCAGTCAGCATCAAGAGGTCCTTGGATCACACCATGGACAGATGGCCCTAGCCTCCAGTGAATTTCATGAAATCCATCTACATATTCAGGAATTGTGGGTACTGGTGGCTGACACCTCCTCTGTTCAGCTGCCTCATTATAAACCCCACTCCCCAGGCAGAATAATCTAGGTAAACTTCATGACACAAATCTCAGTTTTCCTTCCCACTTCCCATGGAAGGGGCAATCTATCCCTAATTTTAGTAGTGCCTTTAAGCTAAAACTGGCTGTCTGCAAGCCTCCTTTCAGAATATAAAATGCAGGGTTTAACCTATAAACCCATAATAACTGGGGTTTTGCTACCTGAGGAATAATTGCCTTTGTCTCATGCTCTAATGCTTGTGATCAGAGGACATGCTCAAGCTAGATACCCCACAATTTAAATGGGAAGGTCTCCTGGCAGGTCATTTTTCATGATGTGTACTTGACTCTTGATCAGTCACACTTCCAGGCATTCTAACAAACCCTTTTTTCCTAAGGGCATTTGGAAAGGCAGTGGGGAAAGAATTAAAAATGAGTATTAGCTGTTTAACTTAACTGTCCCTGGTATCTATAGCTTTTTGCATAGAAAACAAATACATTTAGTGATGTGAGTGTAAGTACTTCATTAAATAATATATATGATTTAACTACTACTAAGATGGTTATCTAGGATTTTTTACTTTAAAGGGGAGACAGCTAAGAAAAATCTCAAAGAAGCTTCCAAAAACCACACCTTCCAAATAAACCAAAATATTACAGAGCCTTTTCATCATACAGTGTACAGTATTGTTGACAACAAAGATATATACTGTTCTATTTTAAATTAATCCATATTTGCAGGGTAGATATGTGTGACTATATAAAATGATTTAAGTCTCTTTCCCTAGATTTGTTTAGCTGTTTTCACCTTCTTATTTGAACATGTACATATGGTATGTGAGAGTGAGAGCACTCTCTGTAAATGTTTGGAAGGAGCATCTGTCAGACAATAAAACGTACAAGGAAATATGCTTCTCATTTAAAGCATTTCCACCAGAACAATTTTAGTTTTGGACTCCGTTCATTTTTATAGCTTAGAAGCATTAATAAGATGTGCAGAGAACTATACAGTCCCCGGAAAACCTGAGTTGTGGGTAATAATCTAAGATAATTTTAAAAAACATTCTGTGTCTAGTCAGCATCACAATTTTCCAATAGCAACCTGAAGTAACTGGCTTCCAGGAGATTCTGGTAGTGCATAAAAAAAAATCAAGCTACAGTATGGAATTCATTTTGTTAAACTGGAAAGTCTAAAGGTTACGATAACTGTTGGACCAAAGGGACCCTCTTCAGGCATAAATAGCAAGACTCCTACTGTCCTCTCTTGCAGAACAGCTCAGCTGCCAGCAAAAGCAGGTGCTCTCACCGTATCTGAGCTCCAGAGGAAACATTTAGTGAGTACTCAAAACTCTTTTAATGAATTACTGTATTATACAACTATTAGTGTTTCAATTATGTTTATGCAGTTTTCTCTAAGGACAAAAGCATTTAAAAAGCGGGATTTTAAATAACTGAGTTTCAGTCTGATGCAAGGATGTTTGCAATTATGTTAATTTTTAAATGTTTTTCATAGCACATATGATCGCAAAGTAATGAATTATATTTGTAATGTATTTGACTTTAAATCTGTTCTAAAAACTCTGCTTCAACTTTTATGTTACTTCTCCATGCTTTTTAAATTTAATTTTATCTTTAAAATAATACATGTATCATTAATGTTTTTACAGAAACATTTACTAGTCTAAATTAATTCAAGATTCTAATAAGATTTTAAAAGAAAATCAAAAACATGTTTCCTCAAACTCATTACCATGAACACGTTTAAGATATTTTTTTATTTTCCATTAGAAACAGTTGTCAGAGATAGAGTTACAGCTTTGTAACATACTGCATGGAAACTTCAACTCTGTAAGTCCTATATGTTCTTAGATGCATTAAGTTTTTAAATGCATTGGATGTGTATTTTCTTCTAGTTCAAAACTTACGCTATATTACATTTCATTGGGTTACAGTTATTCAGTTTTGAATCTACAGTGACTAATAAGGCTAACATGGACACTTTTTTTTCTTTCCATGTGTAGGGAAATGGAAAACCTGATGCTTGGCTGCAGTTCCTGTAAAGTTATCTGGACACTGCTTATAACAATTTTAGGCTATACCAGCTGTCTGCCTGTGGGTGATGATTCTGTTTGCACAGCAGAGGAAGTTGCTAAGTACAGCATAGTCTTTGTAGGGAAATGGAGTCAGGCTGCTTTCCCTAAGCAGTATCCCCTTTATAGGCCTCCAGCACAGTGGTCTTCCTTGCTAGGTAAGTGAAATGTGCACAGTGTCAAGACCAGATAAAACTCTCTACAGTTGTGATTACTTTTTTTTGTTCTTTATTTGAATTTATTGAGAATTCCCTTTAGTAAAATGAAAGTCAAAACTAATGTTGCTTGACAGATAAACAATAACATACAGAACTTGCAGCATCCAAAATACTTACAGAATCTACAACGGTTTTCAATTGGCTTCAATTTTCAATCGGCTACGGCTGAAGTAAACAGTGATAAGCTAAATGTTTTAGAAAATCCTAAAGGTAAATACCCAAATTGTTCCACATCAGAAATAAAACAGAGAAACTGCAGCAATTACGATAATCCAAAACAGACTTTTATATTGAGCAATGTGTTCCCTTAAATAGGTGTTACCCATAGTTCTGACTATAACATGTGGAAAAAGGATGAATATGCCAGCAATGGTGTGCGTGATTTTGCTGAAAAGGGTGAAGCATGGACATTAATGAAGGAAATAGAAGCAGCTGGAGAAAAAATTCAAAGTGTGCATGGAATCTTCTCAGCTCCTGCCATTTCCAGTGGTACAGGACAAACCTTCGCGGAATTAGAAGCACATTCAAGACACTCCTTAGTACGTACATTTACATTTTCATTTTAAGGGTTGCTTACTAGTTTTATGCCAGTAGGATGCAAAAGGAGATATTTGAAATGCCACTGATAGCTACCACTATAATGCAAGGAATTGCTAAGATAATCCAGTTTTAAAGAACTTTATGAACATAAAATCAAATAAAAAAGCATACTGGAATATGTTCTTTTAGAAACCCTCAAATAAAATAGTCAGAAATATGTTTGACCCATTGTTATACTAGAAATCGGACCCTGAAGTTCCTGCTATCCAAGCCTGTAGAGACTGGCAGGTGATTGTTAATTATTATGATGTTTTTCTTTCACTTCCTAGGTTTCTTTTGTTGTACGAATTGTGCCCAGCCCTGATTGGTTTGTGGGTGTTGACAGTCTAAATCTATGTGAGGGAGATCATTGGAAAGAACAAGAAACAGTAGAACTTTTTCCATATGATGCTGGAACAGACAGTGGTTTCACATTTTCCTCACCAAACTTTGCCACTATTCCACAGGATACTGTTACAGAGGTAAGTGTGTGTATGTTGTATACATATAGTGCTTGCGGGAGTGGGAAAGAATAGAGAAGCTGAAGCACCACCCTCTGTGACCCCTTATAACAATACCACATCTACTACAGCACCCTCTGTGACCCCTTATAACAATACCACATCTACTACAGCACCCATTATTCCCCAGTCTGTATCCTTGCCACTGCCAGCATTCCCTACCTACAACTTCTTGTCTCCTCCATCAACCTGCTCCAAGCATTATTGTGCATGCTGACTACCCTCCATCCAGTATCTCCATCCAAAAATAGTCACAATTTCTTGTGTGATCTCAGTCCCAGAATCCTTCCACAAAAGTTAGTGGGATTATCTTCATGACAAGAAATCACAGCTTTTTTGTGGGTCTCGGGTGCATAAAGACTGTGCACCCCCAATTCATATGAGTTTTACTTGCCCAGGAATATAATTAAGACATGATATTCTGTTTAAAATTTCTGTCCTTACTAACATGGCAATATTATTTCTATAAACTTCCTTTTATTTTTAATTCATAGATCACTTGTTCCTCTCCAAGTCACCCAGCAAACTCATTTTTTTATCCCAAGCTAAAAAGTTTGCCACCTATTGCTCGAGTAACCATTGTAAAACTTAAAAGAAACCAGCTGGGTCTTCCTGGTCCTCAGCCTAACCTGACTGCGGTAGGCAATGAAATAGATGACTCTGTCTCAGGTAAGTGGTTAGTACTTTGATCAACTAGATCCTTTTGTTCCCATTCACTGAGCAGCAAAGAAGAGAAGCAAAATTTTAGAAAACTTCAAATCTGGCAGGCCTTGTGGAAGAGAATAGGGTTATGTGGAATATTCCTGCTACAGGCTTCAGCAACTGCAGAGAAAACGGGGGCATGCCCAGTCAAAAAGCAGCTGATCATTATATTTCTTTGTACCCTTTTCCTTGTGGAACAGCATTAACTATTCCTCTGTACTCTGGATCTAATTCTAATATCACTTACACCTGCATAAATTGGGAGTCATTCTACCAAAGCCAATGGAGTTACACAAGTGTAAACATAGCGTAGGTGAGATTAGAATTGGGCCCTCTGTGACAGAGACCAGAGACCACAATAACAGTAAAGGCAATAAACTAGTTCAAATGTCATAGGAAGAGGATACCGAAAGAAACATGGGGGGAGGGAGAGGGGAAGCCTTCATGTCTGGCCAGGGATCCGCAGATTTGGGTTAGATCCACATGTCTTATTCAAGCCATAGAACTTCCACAGAACCACCAGTCCTGTGTGAAAGGGATACTCTGTCAGACTCTCAGCTCCCCAAATCCTGTGCAAATCCTAAAGAAAGTGCTTCCTTCCTGTGAGTTCTTACATAATGGCGCAAAACGATTATATTTACTATATTCTCCTTGGTAAGAAGTATTTTGATAGTGATATGAAATAAGAAAACAAAATTCACCAGCTTGAGTAGAATTATGATGGCAACTGATACCTACAGAACAAGGTACCCGAGGAGAGTTTGAAATTTTTATTGAAATGCTCATGTGAAGCCAAGATTTAATTTCAAACAATAATATATTTATCCCACCACAGCATTCTTTTTTTAAACTGTCTGTGAATGCTAATGCTCATGTAAGTGAAGGTTCATAGCACTGATTTGACCCAGTCTTAGTGACAAATTCTAAGCTTCAAACTCAGCATAAATGCTACATCCCCTCTGATTGGAGGAAAGAGGACAGATGGTAGAGAGCCCTGTGCAGGCTTACTCTATGCACCCTCTGGTGACTCTCTGTACAGGATCATAGAAAAGGGGAATGTGGAGCACTTCTTAAGAAAGTTGTGCAGAGACCAAAATCCTGCACAGGAGAGATCCATGGGACACACTCCCTGCATATTCTGTAGTAGCAACCACGGCCCAAGTGCATGCCAGCTGCTTCAGACTGGGACTGGAGAGTCTATTTCTCTGGCTTTGGCTCTGTGCCAGGAGTTTGGACCATAAGGTGGGCTTCACAAATTTCCTCACAATTAATAAATAAAGAAAACTTACCTTCCCCATGGTTAATAAGGCCTGACTTGTACATTTAAAACAAGCAGATTTCTAGTTTAAAAAATGTTTTCTTAGTAAACAAGAGCTGATCATCCATCATTCAAATTGGGTGACACAAATCACATATAGAATAATATCCTTTCCTCCACAACATTTGAGAAGGGATTACTATTTACTCTAGCCCCAGTTCAGGAAAGGAGCTCAAGATGTACTGAAGTGCTTTCCTTATTAGGGATGGTCTTTAAAACGTATGTAAGTGCTTCCTGAACTGGGTCCTTAGTATGCTACTTTGAAGATATCATGCAGGATTCTCATTCTTGGGTCTCAGCTCCCTAGCCTAAGACAGACTGGTTTGTCTTGTCCTGAAAGCTTAAGATCCAAGAGTTGGAAGTCACAATATGGTATTTTTAGAGACTATTTATTTAATTAATATTTAATTTTTATTTAATTCCCCATAAATGTGAGTAACTGGACATTCTAACTAGAGCAACATGCTGTATTAACTTCCCCACAAAGTTAATTAATGTGCCTCAGTGTAGGTTAACCCCCCCGCCCCCACCCTCAAGTGTTCCAATACTGGGCATCCCCATAGCAGATACTGTAAAACAGTGGTTCTCAAACTGGGGGTCCGGACCCCTCAGGGGGTCATGAGGTTATTACATGGGGGGTTGCGAGTTGTCAGCCTCCACCCCAAACCCCACTTCGTCTCCAGCATTTATAATAGTGCTAAATATATTTTAAAAGTGTTTTTAATTTATAAGGGGGGGGTCGCACTCAGAGGCTTGCTGTGTGAAAGGGGTCACCAGTACAAAAGTTTGAGAACCACTGCTGTAAATAGTAGCAAACTATAACAGGTTATGTAATATATTTGTAATACATTTGATGAGATAATAGTCATTGTTTAGACAAACTAAACATTTAGTTCTTTTAAGCTTTCTATACAAGTCCATTTTTCTACTCCATTAAAAATGTTAGTAATTCAGGAGATATTATAAAATAAGAGCAACACAGACTGAATCACAGCAATTCATTGTAAGTAAAGCATTTGTTGGACATTCCTAGTCAGAAGTCTCCACTTTGTGTATATACCAGTAACTTAATCCATATAAAAAACTTACTCCACAGGCATAAGGAAAGATTTAATTACCAAAGGTCAAACCATGTTCCCCATCCACTCAAGGTCTATAGAGATCCGCGACTACAGACATATTTCCTCCTAACTGCAGAGGGAGAGAGTATCTGTCTATTTTCTTTACGAATTTTATAACTTACATATCATTCATATATATATTCTGTATATATGTATATATTACTTTACAGAATTTCTGATTTATTTGGTTGTAGTAAATGTAAAGGATATTAGTATTAAAAAGCTTTTAGTTATACAATTTATTTTATTGGCAAAGGGAAGACTGTGTGTATAAAAGGTGCTTTACCTTTTCTTGCCAAAAACTAACTACAAGAAGATTTAGTCATAAAAAGAATTAGCATTTTCTTTACTGATGAGGAAGAATAGAATAGGACTTAAACAGAAAATGAAATGAATAGGAACAATATATACAAAGAAGTCCCAGAGTATATAAATAAACTTGATAAAAATCTTAATCCTGGTATTATCCAGCAAGCCATGCAAGGGCAAATGAGTTATTAGTAATGAGATGACAATAAAATACAATTCTATTTTCAGAGCATGCTCATTTTAAAGTTTTCCATGAAAAGAACATTTTAAATTCTCAACTAAATAAGTATTATACCATAACTAATGCAGTACCTCAAACAACCTCTACATGACAGTAAAAAAGTCTACCTTTTCAGGAGCTGAAAACCGATGTCTTTATTTACTAGACAACATATGGCTTTTATTAAAGGAATGTAAAATTAAAATCATGTTAATTCTGTTTTTTCAAGTAGATCTTTTTAATATTATCAGTAATGTAACTGATAGTAAATTCTTCATGTATCAAAACAAACATCAGCCTTATATTTATATAAGTAAGGACAATTTGCTAATAGTTTTGTACATTTTACCAACTATGTGTTTGCCTTAAGCACATATTTCTGTCAAATCACCTCTTCTTATATATGTTACAGAAACACCATTGGACTGTGAGATTTCACTGTGGTCTTCCTGGGGTCTTTGCAGAGGTACTTGTGGAAAGATAGGGACCAAAACCAGAACTCGTTATGTACGCCTTCAACCTGCCAATAATGGAACTCCTTGTCCAAACCTGGATGAAGAAACAGAATGTGAACCAGACAATTGTGTCTGAAATCTCCTTTCCAATGGAATAAAGAATAGACGATAATTTAGATCATTTAAATTAAGGTTAGATTTAGTTGAATCTATACTCCATGTCAGTCACTATTCCTTATAATTCAGGTATGTTGTAATGTTTTATTGAAATGTTTAATTAGACTGGATGCTGATTCTATTGTTTGATATCAAGACTTTTTTTAATTACTTAATTTTAGTCCAACAGTTTTTGATCATTTACAGGGAAAACAAAACAAAATCCACGGAACCCATTCCTTTCTACAAATATTGTGTAAGTTCTTGCAGTACCATCTAGTGGCAGGAAAGAAAATTTTGGACATACTGCACAGTTCATTTATGTTAACAAATCTTTTGAGTACAATCTAGATTATCACATACATTCTTAAATATTAGAATTTGTAGATTTAAATTTGTTTATTTATATCTGTAAAGCTAATTATTATGTTGCTGTAAATTATGTTTTATTATAATTTATTGGCATTAATGTTGACTTCTTTTATCATGTTTAATTGAGTACACTTCTTTGGAAAACACTTATATAAACCAGAGTGACCAGATATTGTAACATAGTTAGGACAATAAAATAACTGCGTAAACTTGTCTTGAATCCTATGCATGTAGAGCGAGAGGTTTGTTTTTCCTCAGACATTGGAAAAATGCCAACTACAAAACTACTCAGCTCAGAAGCTTCATATAAGCACTCAAAAGTCTGGATACTAATGGGGAGCCACTGAACTCAGTTGAGTTGAATCAGTTTTCCAGATTTAAAAACTGACTGATCTTTGGTGTGGATCCCTACACAAATAAACTGACTGGGAAATAACTGGTGAAAAATTGTAAAGTCTGTTCAGCTGACTATAAGTTATACCATTTTCTACATGTATGAAATAAATGTGTCCATGTTTCTCTAAAAGCATATGTGGATGTGAATTATTTGTTTATGTAAAAATCACAAAATTTTGAGGCATAAATGAGAAATTATAGATTTGTTTTTAAATGACTCAAAACAGAATTATGTATGGATTTCACAAAGCATAATATATCAAAAACTGTTCCAGACTGAATTTTGTTACTCAAATAGCTAATTGGTTGAAAAAATGATAGCACGTGGGTTATGCAGAGTTTTTAGTTATAACATAGGGAAAGGATTTTTGAAATATAAGAGTTCAACAGAAAACTTTTAAGCTAGTTGGTGTTTATAGGTCTACAGTGCACTGTCCTAGAAAATATACAAAAATAAGAAAGGCACAGATATGAACAAGAAAGATCTTGGATGGGGCCGGGCAGGTTCATTCTGAAACATGCCATCTATGAAAACCATTTTTGTATACTAAAAGGGACACAGCACACTGCATTCTCTTTAGGTACAGGAACACTTAAAAGTTCTGACACTTTTTTTTTATAGGACTCAGATGAGGATCCTGACGAGTCCTGAAGAAATTAGAACTTTTATCAGCATAGTACATACTGGTCCTCCAAACACTGAATAAACAATTAAAACAAACACTCGGCTCCAGTTGAATACAGCTAAGTATTTAAAAAAAACAAACAAACTTTTGTCATTTCTTGATGCCTTGCATTCTTCTGATTATCACTCTCCTGTCCTCCATCCCCCTTGTTTCACTTATTCTTGTTTATAACATCTTCTTTTTCTCCATGTTCCTCCTGTGTCCACATTCTTACAGGTTCATTAGCTCTCAAATATCCTGATTTTGGAGAGAAAGGAACTTTTCTCAGGTCTCTCCACATTCTGTATTACTTTTATGTCCTTTTCCATTCTTTCTTTATTTTCTATACAGAAGTCTTCCTTATTTTCTGTTTTTGGTTTTTATTTTATTTAACTGTATAAATACCTAGATAAACAATTACATCCATCACCAGGGTATCAGAACAACTTTAAAATGTATTAAAATATACACGTGAAGTATGCTCTCTGCTTTTATTCTGTTCCCTTGCCCCTTCCCCAATCCATTCTCATTGCTCTTTGCCCCATTTCAATGGGTCATCTTGCTCTGTGAGACAGCCATGTCGCTGCAAGGGATGAATTCAGCCTCCAGCATCATTCCTATTAGTGGCCTGGACAGAATTTGAACTGTTGACTGATAAACGGCCAAAGGCTCCAAATCCTATTACTAGTCCATGTTACTGGACTGATGATAGAACCCTAAGTTAAAACATAATATGTGATGGTTACAAACACTAGGAGTGAGAGGATAAGAAGGAACTTGTAATATTTTCCACGGGATCTCATGGCAACAGCTGTAACTTATGACAACATGAAATATATAATAAAGGGCAGATTTTTCAAGTACTCAGCATCCGCAAATTGGGGCTGTTTTTTCAAAAGCACTCAACCACCGCTTCCATTATGACATTTATGTAACCCTCTTGGGGTTTAGAGAGCATGGCCCCTTTAAAACCTTGTCCTGAGGCAGAGGGAGTGCTGATTGTTGTAGCAAGAGGAAGTGCTGGTTGTTCCAGGGGTGTGGAGAGAGATAAAGTGACAGGGTAGGTCTGTCTGTAGCTACAGAGAGAAGGACTATATCAAGCAGGCCCTCACATAGTGAAGCAGCCAAGAACCAGCCCGAAGCCTGGGCGGGACAGAGTGACCAACCAGGGATGCCCCAGGACAGGAGCCAGGAGGAGCACCATGGTAAGGAAGAATCACTTGAGACGGACAAACCGGAGCTGGAATCAGTATCACAATTGCCCAGAACTGGATGGGGCCATGAGTACTGGGGCATGTGACCTTGCATTGGACATAAGGAGGGAGGCTGTCGCTAGCTAAGTGGGGAGGCTGTCGCTCTGTGTGGCTTTGCAGAGAGCGGCAGAAAAGGGACCGGAGAGGTTTATTGTTGAAAGGTTACTGGCGCCGAAGACCAGCAGGAGCACCCAATACTCACTGCCATACTGGAACTCTGCCCAGGGTTCCTGGACTCTGAGTGTAGACACATTGCTTGGTGTCTGTCCTTTTGTATTGTGGTACCACTGGACCTGTGGAGCCTTGTGTTTGGATATAACACTGTTTTACCACTCCCCCTATCTTCCCTCACGTTGTTTTGCTCCAATCATCCTTCTGTAAATAATATTTGCTTTTCCTATATTCATTGTACTATGCTGGTATGTGTGTTTACACCAGGGGATGTGGAACAGGTGCTCCTGGGCTGGGGAAGAGTTTCCCTGATGCGTTCCTGCACATGCCTTTTGTTGGCCGGAGTTGCCTGTTGAGCAGACTCAATCTTGGCCATAAGGGTGCATTTATAACCAGGTTTCCTAGCCTGCAGGATATGGTCACTTATTTGTATGGTAAATCTGCTGTGTTGAAGGTTTTGCTTTTCACATACTTGCTGTTTGTGTCCCCAAATCAGGATGAAGGATAGTCCCTTGAGACAGGCGGTGGGAATCCTGAGGTAAATGCCTGTATTTGTCTATTAACGATTGAAGCAGCTATTGTGAAACAAATGTATCCTTGCAAGTCAACTATGAAAGCACTTGAATCTCCCAGAATCTTGTGGCTCACCTTGTGGAAACTGTAGAGGACACTGTGATACTGGGGCATCACAAAGATATCCACGTGTGTCATCTGCAGATTGTGACAAAGGCTGCAAAAAATTCTATGGATAGGTGTCCTTTCCTGGAAATTAAGGGCTGGCACAGTGAAGGAAGGAAACGCCATATGCCTCAGAAAACTACTCTGGGTTTACAGTATACCTGGTAGTTGTTCTTTCCTCACCTCACCTTATGGCACAATCTAGATCCAGGCCAGGCTTTAGTGGAACTGATGGATGATCTCCTGCAGCCAATGCAGAGGACAGACTCTGATCCTCCTGAACTTCTCTGCAGCTTTGATAAGAAACTACACCTCTATTATTAGACCCCTCACTTGTGGAGTCTCAAAAGGATCAACTCTGTCTTTGTTCTATTCAGCTACATACAGGCACAGAGTGAACTGGTAAGATGCCAAGTGCCAGCAATATGCAGATGATACACTGCTTGTCTTTCACAATATATGATACCACTACCACCAAGATGGCCCACAATTTGAACAACATCAGCTCATGGAAAAAACCCAACAGGTTGAAGCTGAACCCAAGCAAGACAGAGGTTATGCTAATAGGCAGAGGAAAGCATTTTTAAAGGTTTGCAACCACAGTGGAGTGTCTCCTTTGGTTGATGGTACTCCCTCGCTATAGGCCAATTTAGTCTGTAGCTTAGAAATGTTCCTGGATTCCTCACTGATATTAAGATCTCACACAGCAGCATCCACGACTGACACTTTGTCCCATCTCTAGTTGCTAGGAGATTCTGTCCCATCCTGGCAAACGATGACCTAATCACAGTTACTCACATGTTTGTCACCTCTTGGCTGGACTACAGCAATGCAATATACTTGGGAATGAAGCCTTTAGTGCTTTAGTGCACCATGTCTGCTCAGCAACACTGGCTACTGTCTCGTCCTCCACTCCCTACATTGTCTTCTCATGGAATATCATATCAAGTGCAAGGTCTCAGTCTTCATCTGCAAGGGGCTCAGTGGTCTGGGCCAACAGTAACTAAAAGACTGACTAAAGCTCCGGGATGAGGATGTGATCGACAATTTCACTCCTCTGGCACAATGGAACTTTCTGCAATAAAGATAAAGCTTGTCTGTGCAGGAGACAGAGCTTTCTTGGATCTGGGCAAAGACTAGGGAAGGAACTCCAATAGGAACTGAGGGCCATCACAAGCCTCACCACCTTCCACTCTAAATGCAAGGCATGTTTTTTCCTTATCTTCTCTATCATAAATGTACCAAAATGTGTGTGTCCAGTGCACAATTGTCCGCTTGGGGAGAACATGAGTGAACCAACTACTGGAAGGGGCTCTTGTACTATGGTGAGTGCTGCATTAGGAGGGCTGTGTTGTGAGCTGGTGGGGTGAATAGCCGAGTGTCTGTCTGCTGTGACCATTTGTTTGATTGGAGCTAGTTTCAGGGACTGTTTGACCATGTGTTTGTTTGAAAAGTGTGACTGTTTGATCATGTGATTGTTTGTTTGTTTGAAAAGTGTGAATTGGGAGTGCTTTGTTCCAGGTGGGCCTTGAATGGTTGATTGGAGGGAAGGCTTTGAGCTGGGCCAAGTGCTATGACCCAGCAGCCTGATAAAAAAGCAGCCAGTTGCAAACCGAGTAAGCGGTGAACAGAGGATAGGCAAACGGAGTTCGCATGGGAGTTCGCTGGGATGTTTTCGCCTTTCAGGCTTCTGTGAGCAGTAAATATAACATCTGAAGAGGCTCTTAGAAGAAAGACATTATGGATAGTGAGCGATCAGTGGTTGTAACCTGCACAGGATGTGCCATGTTTGTCTTTCTCCCAGAGGATAGAAGCAACTTCGCCTGTACGAAGTGCAAGCTGGTCTCCATATTGGAAGAGAAGGTTAAAGGACTAGAGACCCAAGTATCAACCCTGCATTGCATCAGAGAAAATGAAGATTTTCTGGATAGAAGTCAGCATTTGGTATTGTAGGCACAGAATCTGAGAGGGCAATGCAGCATTTGGTATTGCAGGCACAGAATCTGAGAGGGCAGTGCAGAATGGGGAAGAAAATTGACAGCATGTGATCTCCAGAAGGAGAAAGAGGAGAACCCATGTATCCCCGGTGCAGATAGAGGTAAGAAACTTTTTTCGGGTTCTCTGCACAGGTACTATGGCGGAGAATGATTTGGAAGAGTCATTTGAGGGAAGGGATCAGAAGGAGACCACATTGACTGGAAGGCATGGGATGCATTGTCCTAGGGATGGTGGTTCTATAACCACCACTCCCAAGAGGAGGAGACAGGTGGTGGTGGTCGAGGACTCCCTCCTAAGGGAGATGGAGTCATCCATCTGCCGTCCAGACTGGGAAACTTGAGAAGTGTGCTGCTTGCCTGGAGCTAGAATTCAGGATGTGATGGAGTGTCTGCGAGGACCACTCCCCCTTCCTACTCCTCCATGTAGGCGCCAATGATACTACAAAGAATGTCCTTGAGCAGGTCACTGTGGCTCTGGGAAGAGGGATAAAGGATTTTGAGGCACAAGTCATGTTCATGTCCATCCTCCCTGTTGAAGGAAAAAGCCCAGGTAGGGACCGTTGAATTGTCAAGGTAAATGTGTGGTTACACAGGTGATGTCGGAGAGAGGGCTTTGGATTCTTCGACCATGGGAAGTTGTTCCAGCAAGAAGGATTGCTAGGAAGAGATGGAATCCACCTAATGAAGAGAGGGAAGAGCATCTTCGCAGGCAGACTTGCTAACCTAGTGAGGAGGGCTTTAAAATAGGTTCGCCCGGGGATGATGACCTAAGCCTGGAGGTAAGTGGGGAAATGGGATACTGGGAGGAAACACAAGGAGGAGGGTGCAACAGGCACTGCAAAATACATCCTTTCCATGGAAAATACTGTTTTTCTTGAATGATCCTGTGCCATAGAAGGAGACCTTTCCTTGAAAAAAGGCATTTTTGGTCACTAGCACATACACAACAGAGATCCCTTTTGACAGATGAACAGAAATAATAACACAGCAAAACTTTGAGATGTTGCCAGGCAACTCAATAGACAGAAATTATCCCAGACAGTGCAGTGATGCTGGAATTGGAAGCAGAGACTAGTTTATTTTAATCTTTATTTTTCTCTTGTTTGTTGAACTTAGGAGCAAGAGAGAAATTTAATTTATTTACACCCCTCCCCAAACAATTTTGATTTCTCATAATGACAACATCCATTGATAGGAACATTCCACTACTTAGTGATCCTGGCCATCTTATTGACTATGAAAGCAGCTTTGCTGGATTTTATTTTTAAATACACACACAAAGAATACTCAGCTGACCTGTTGGACCAAAACCCAGCAGTAACTGTCAAGGCTGACAAACACACTAAAAGCATACAACTCAGAAAAACATGAAGTATTGCATTTTCCCATTGTGGCACTTTCAGTCCTAATGTAGTCCGTGTGTGTGTGTGTGTGAGAGAGAGTGCGTGCGTGTGCACACACACACACACACACACACAAAGAATTATAAATTAGTCCAATAAAACTTCATATATCTGAGCTACGAATAAAATTTTGCTCCTTTCATGGTAGGACAGACTTCACAAATTATCTTTTACTTATCTCATTCGGTAGCGCATACACATATATAAATAACTGAAGTAACTGCCAGATGTCTTTTCTCACATTTTTTCCCAAAACCACACTGATAAACAGCAAACAAGGAGTGAGCACAGAGCTGTGCTCATTTCTAACTAATCATTTCCAAAAGGATACACCAAAATCATGAAGAGCCACTTAATAGGAATTCTTTTGAGCTTCTGGGTTGCTGTCTCACCTGCTTTGTATTTTCATTCAGGGGAAAGAGAGGAGAAATGCATAATAGAAGACATTCCAAGTGATACCTTGATTACTGGTAGGTAGATGTTGCTACATGATGGTCAATGTGTTTAATATTTAAAATGTTAATCTATGAAGTTCTAATGCTGATAGCCTGATATATAATGCCAAAGCCCTGTGGCTGGCCTTGCTTAGGTGAATGAGTGGTGGTGTGGTGAGCAGGGCACAAAGAGCATTTCCTTCTTTACTCCCAAAATGAGTGCCAGTCACAATATGGAATTGCACTATAGCCACTGCTCCATGCTAGCCATGAGTGTTACAGTTGTGTCGTGTACTGCATGCTGAGTAATAACATGAGAGGACTCCATGTTTCTGAATCTAAACTGGCTCTTTATTAAGAGAATTAGTTACAGAATTGCTGTGACAGCAGCTAGCATTCAAGCTATGTGCACACAGAATGGCTTCCTGATGCCTTCTCCAAACTCTTCCCTTCTATCTCCTGTGCTCGTCCCTCCAAGTTCCATGCAGGTTGCTACAAGAGTCCTCTGCACAGACCAGAAGAGCTGGCTGAGCTAAGATGGAAAGCACAAAAGGCACCTATTTCTACAGTGCTGGAGATGCCATTGCAGTATGTGCTTTCTCGGAGGAATTCTGGTTTAGTCAACCATTACTCCCAGGGCTCCTATTATAGCACAGTTTTGCCACTCTCCCCCACCAATGTGAGATCTGCATTTTCTGTTTACCAGTGGTCAGGACCTCATTCAAGACCTGCTAAAAAAAAAGGACCATTCCACTAAGTGTTTTATACTGAGTTCATTAAAATCTTCCCAGATAATGAGAAAGCAAAAAGCCCTTATTTGAGAAGGAGAAATATGCAAGACTGCCAGGGAACCATCAAAGAGCTGATCGCTTGTTGTTCACAAGTGCTAGGGGCTGCATGAAAGACAATCATAAAAACGTAATTTGAGTAATGGATACCTGAACTTTTGGGACTATTTGCCATGTGCCATGGCTTGCTAACCAGGCCAGAGCATGCAAGGCAATGATAATAAATTGTCACTTTTCTTTCACTGGTTTGTAACTTCTTGCTCACTCCATTGTGGTGCAAAATGCCACAATCTAATTATATGGTGAACTGGAAAAAATCATAATTCTATTAAATATGTAAGTTATCTTGTACTTAATTTTGTTTTTATAGTGACTTGATGTAAAATGAAAAAGTGAAAGATATTTAATATACTAACTTGTAATTAACAGATTTGTATCTGTCTTCTCAGGGAGTTACAAGGTACAGCAATGGGACATACATGAACACAGGTTTCTTGAATCTGCGCCTGGTTTGGGAATGTTTGTGACCATTACAACTCCTACTAAGGAGGTAAAACTTATTATTCACATTTTGGAGAAATTTGTACTGACTCTTGGAACTGGAAGGTCATACTATCTAAGGGGAATGGACAATATTTAAAAAAATAGGTGCCTAAAATTTGGTTCCTTAATCCATATTTAAGCAGCTAAATAAGTGGTCTGATTCTCAAAAGTGCAGAGCACATGTTGGTTTCATTAAGGTCAATAAGAGAAGAAGGGTAATCAGTACTTTTGAAATCCAGGCCATTTATTCATGTATCTATATGGGTTTAGTGCCTTGATTTTAGTCGTCTTTTATTTATTTAATCTGGCAATGCTTTTTGCGTTAAATCTAGATTTGGAAAAGCTTGCCATCAAAGAATACTTAAAATATAGTTGAAAAAACAATATTTTACATACAGACAATGTGGTTTTGTATTGACTACTGAAGCAACATAGTAAAGCCAGTAGCTGTGTATGGAGAAAGGAAGGAGATGATAAATTAAACCAAAAATATTAGCTTAACCATCAGGATGCATATATCAGCAATTCACAACAACTGCCTTCATTGCATTGGGTGTTCAACACTTCTGAAAATCAGGATACTTATTTATGTGCCAAAGTAAGGACTTGGAAGCTACACTTAAACACCCATTTTTGAAAATTTTGACTTTAGTTTAGTGTCTATAGATAAGTTTTTAGTTCTCAGTGTAGACCACATTTTTTTCTAGTTTTTATTCCCTTAATAAAATGTGAAAGTTAGGTTAATTGTATTTATATTAATAATATAATATAATTTATATTAAGTTTTAAATATTAAAATATTCTGAGGTATGATACATAGCATTTTATTTTTATGTTAATATCTGTGGTTCATAAATTAAAAAAATATACTTAACACATTACAGCTACTGTTGTCAAAATTGTATGGTCCACAAGGAACATTCTCTTTTACGTCACACTTACCTGGGGAGCATAATATCTGTTTGCAGTCTAACTCCACAAAGCTTATCTCATTTGGAGGAAGTAAACTGGTAAGAGTATTTCTTGAATATTCTTTTTAATGATGATATCTGTCGTATCTAAACCACAGGCTCTGGAAGACAAATGGACATACAGTATAGAGGTCTAGGAGCATAATTTATGACAAGAGTGAAAGGATTATGAAAGTATCTCAGTGGATCCATGTGTCCAATGTTGCTCTTTGATCTTGCAAAGCAATTCCATGTAGGTGGACCTTTGGACCTCCTGAATTCAGTGGAGAACATTCTGTATTATTTTGGTTGTGGTCAGTGTTTGAAACCAGAAGAATCTTGCTTTGATGAATTATCTCAGAGATTGGCAAATGACTCATTAGCCAATATATGACATTTCCTAGTGACTGAAAAAGATAATGCTGGAGCTCAGAAGATGAAGAGATGAAACAGAATTTCCTTTCATATCCAAAGAGTCAGGGCACAGTCAGTCTAATACAGTGCAGATTAATTAATATTTGTACAGCACCTTGATTATGTAAAGCTTCAAAGTCCTGATTAATATGATGAAATGTTATAAGGGGAAAGATTTATCAACACAGATGCAGGTACAAAAGCTTACTTATCTGAAAGCTATTACATTTCTGTCGCTCCCGTGTCTTTGAGCAATACCTCTATAAACTTTAAAGAGTTAAAATCTATGGGAGAGAGCCACACATGAATTATATATGTATTGTTCTTTATATCATTATAAACCAAGCTAAACTTTGGAAGTAACTGGAGAAAATTGCCTTTAGAAGCATATTTAATAACCTACTGGAAGTGCTATAGTATGCCAGGTGGAAGACCTAGGACTGATTCTCATTATCTCTGGCTTGGTCTACACTACCCCCCCTAATTCGAACTAAGGTACGCAACTTCAGCTACGTGAATAA